AAAGGTAAAAGCTGATTAAACCAAACCCCCTTATTCATCAGGTCAAGGTACAGCACAAGCAAGGCTGGTGCAGCCTGGGTGATCCCACAGCCTGGGTGATCTTTGCTCAGGGCGAGGCGTGCAGAAGGTGCCGTGGATGGGGAGTCAGACGCCCAGCTGAGGGCTCTGCAGGGTGCCAAGAGTGTGATGGCTGTTTTAGGATGGACAGAGCTTTTGGCAAACAAGCTGCCTGTTCACAGCAGTACCTGAAAGTCAACACTCCCCTCGTCCCACAGCAGTGCCCGAGGCCAGGTCATTGCTAACGCTTTTATTTCCATTTCAGTGACAGTTTCAGGCCATCTCGTTACCCATGTGCTCCTGCATGGCAAGGATGTGCTGTACAGCAAAGACTTCACACGGCAAACTAAAGCTGTGCTGAGCAGCGTGGCCGTGTTTGTTTAATCTGAAAGCTTTTCTGGGAGATGTCCAACACCAAATATTGGCCAGATCCAGTGAATCGTTCCCATTACTCTTGTTTGCTTTTCACAGCTAGACCTGGGGACAGCCCCCCTCTGCACTGAGACCGGCGGCAACTCCAGGATGACCCATTTCCTTTCACAATTGCACCAGGCCCCTCTGTAAGTTACTATTTTCTACAGAAGCACCAGTGAAGTAACCAGACAGTACAGCGCTACAGCTCTCTGGTAACCACAACACCACAACAGCTGCAGCTCTAAGGCCTTCAATAACTACTGTAATAACAAAAAATAGTAACTCATTGCATGTCCACTGCAGAAAGCAACACTTCTGCTCTTCCAGAGAGGTATTTACAAATAGACTACTTAGAAAAAAGTTAGAAAAATGAGACCATAGATTCTAATGATGCATTTCTAATGGTGATTGGAACTATTAAAAACATTTCTAATGGTTTCTAATCTTTATCTGAAACTCTAATGAGCCGGTGAGCATTTTAATTAAAATTTGTTATTAATATGAAAGTTGGAGGTGATAGAGTTCCTTGAAAAAGTACTAGAATTGGTGAGCAAAGATAGCCATTGTTAAAAACAAAACAAAACAAAAAAACTCAAACCAAAACAAAGAACAGAATGTGGAGTGGGAGCCAAAATAGAGAGAAGGAAAAAAGTTGTAAATTATTTCAATTGCCTCTAAATTTTCCATAGAATAAAGTCATGGATTTGCTTAACACAGGACAGGGAAGTTCAGCCAACTGAACCTTTACTATTTGTAGAACAAGGAAAGAATTTGTATATTGTTGTATATATTTACACTGAGTAGTTGAGCTC